AAATCCTATGAAGCCTTGGCTGGAGAAGTGCAAAACAGCATCCTGATCTTTCCTTTGCAGCAGGCTAATGGCCAAATGTTATTGATTTCTTGCCAGTTGAACAGAAATGTGCAGTTCATTAGGTCTTGAACTTGACATACAATCAAGGAAACTTTTAAGTAAAGTCTGCTTTCTCCTATATTTGTTTCACAACACTTTTCATAACAAATTGCTGAAAAATCTAGGATGGCAAATAAAGCAGAGCAACCAAATCAGCTTCAGCTTGAACACAAACAGAATCTTCTCAAAGGATGGTACTGCACTTTCTTTTAGTGCTGCCAGTATCAAGTTTTAGAAGTTATGATCTCTGCTGTTCTACTGGAGTTTCTCAAAATTATATTAATGATTCACATTTTTTATGTAATATAATAGTAAAGCCTGAATGATCAAAGAAGTATTCACATGGCAAATGCCAAAATTCAATTTGCTTTACATTTCTTTTTTCCATTTGCACATAAACATCTCATTTTTAACTGAAATTCTTTTTCCTCTCAAACAAAATATAAATTGCCTCTTTTTTCTTCTAATTTAACCAAAATTGCTCCTTTTTGTAAAAAAGTTACACACAGAAAAACACCACCACATCTTTAAGCCATCAGTTTCAATCAAAACATCTGAGAAGCAGTTTATCACCAATAGCTGCATCTAAATACAAACAGTTTCTGTTGGTTTTTTTTAACTCACTGGAATGTATTGTGGGAAGACTATGTCAGAAATTCAATTTCTCTTCTCACAGTTCTCTCATGTTTGGAGGTTTGTAGCCCACATGAATATTATCCTTTTCAAAGGCATAGAAACACATACTGCAGCATGTAAGGATTGAAAAGTTATCCATCTGGTGCTAAGGAAACTGTAACAGAACATCATTTTCTGCACTAACAGGCATACAAGGCATAATGTCAAAATACAGTAGGAAATCAGCTATAGCTTTTAGGTCAGTTAAAAGCCTCACCCACTTTCTTACTGAAAAATTAACACATTTTCTGCAGCAACAGACAAAATATTCCCCAAGTCATCTTTTCTTGAAGAATATTTCTAATAGGAGGAAAAATACTGCTTACATCTTCTACTTTGATTTATACCAGAGTTGGGCAAGGAAGAGGTAGTAATAGGGCAAAAAACATCTTTTTATCCTACAGGAAATTCTAATGGTTTTTCGTATCAAGAATTACTTAGAAACATAAAATCAAAACAAAAAAAAAGCTTTTAGCACTTTGTGTTGAATCAACCAATTGTGATGGACCAACCAAAAAACCACTACCTTTGAAGCCTGTTCCACATCAACCTGTACGTGCCTAAAGTGAACAGTAATGCAGCTCCTGCCCCATACAGGTGTACTCTTTATATAAGCTACATTTCCACAATGTGTCTATGGTCATATGTCTTCCAGGACACATGGCTCTCAGCTGCAGTGGAAGCAGTGATGAGTCAAGATTTACAAGAAAAGGCGAGAGGCAGCACCCCTGGCTTCTTTAAGCCACCATAGCACTATAGACCAATGAAGTTTTAACACAACTGAGTTCAAGGCCAAGCACTTCACCATAGGTCAGCTGATAATTTGATTTATCCAATCAAACCAGCCAAAAAGTATGTACTTAATCACACTGGGGAAAATTGCAGTAAATTGAATGAGAGCTTTTTGGGTCTTTTGAAACTACTTTTTCCACGCAAAATAATTCTAAAAAAAAAAGTTGAAGACTAGCATTCAAAGAAACCCTCCCTGAATTCCTATCCTGCTTGCTTTCATTCTGACACTTCTATTTCTGGCACCTCCTCTCTAACTTTTGTAATATAAAAACTTAAGAACATTCTTCGTTCGATCAGTTGTATAAAAATGGGATACGACTTAAACTGCAGAAGTTGTAGTAATTATGGAGATTGCCATCCTACTGCCTGACATAGTGTCAGAAAGACAACCTCATTCAGGTTTCTTAAAGAGAAGAAATAAACCCACAAAACAACCCCTGTCAAGCCCTTAAAATCATCATTTCCAAAGATAAAGCAATGCAAAAGTAGCTACAGTGCTTTGATAACTAAAGCTAGAAGTTTCAAAGTTCACATTTAGAACACAATAGGGGAAACATCTGTTTTTATAGAGATGTTTACAGTTCATTCTTGTATGTACTGACTTGTAGCATTAAAGACATACTATAGTTCTGTACTCCCATGTAAAAAAAGACGTGGCATAAAAACCATGTGACTTCACTCGTCTGCTGCAGAAACATGAATGATGTAGCCAGCAGCAGTAGGGGAGAAAAATGAGAAGAGGGAGAATACTGTTCAACAAAATCCTAGCCTCAAAGTGACATTCCCATCACTACTGTCATATACAGAGAAATTTCCATCAACAATTTTGTGAGGAAGTTCTGTGGGATCCAACCATAGAGAGCTGACCCGGAACAATACTGCCAAAAGCAAAAGTACTGGTCTGATTTTGGCAATTACTCTTGTACACTTTTTTGAGGGAATGCGACCTTTAATTATGCCTTAATTCCTCACTGCTTAAATACAGAGACAACAATCCTCATCAGGATACAGAACTAGAAGGCTAGTTTACTGTACAGAGCTGACAGCATGCTGCAGTCCACAACCCCCAGCTGTGGATGGACCAGGAGGGATGCACAGCGAAGTCTGAGCGCAGACCGAGTGACCGAAGTCCCATGTGACCCTGGGAACAAGATGCTGTAAGCAAACAGCTGCAGTGTAAACTGTGACATGTGAACACTTGTTTCACATCTTCCACCTCAAAGGTATTCAAAATGTAATCGATAAGCATGCAATCTAGTTTAAATTCAGTCAACAAGACCCAAGGGATCATTTTTATTCTGCTCCCACTCTGTTTCTTTACAACAAAACATTGTTGGCTCTGTGAAGACAAGCTATGGTTGTCTCTCAAAAACTGCTGGGTAAAAAGACAGTGTAACAGTGCCATAAAATATTTCCTATATAAACAGAATACAGCATGTGGGCATGGCAGGTAGTCACGCATTATGCTTACAGGTTTTGCCATTCTGGCTCAAATTAGCCACCTACCTATTATCCTATCTGTGACCACAGACACTTGTCAGTTCTTAAATGATTCAGAGAAAGGGGGAAGAGCAAACTGTTCCTGCAAACAGGCAATACACAAATACCAAAACACAAATACACAAATACCAAAACACAAATCTTAGTGGCTGCAATTAGTGGTTTCTGTCAGTGGCTACTCTGTGATTGAGATGCAAGAGTTTATTTTCCTTCTAATAATTTTACAAGAAAGGCATGTGCTATTACAAAACACAGTATGTAAATGCTTTACTTGCATCACCAGTGCTGCAGGATGATTCTCTTCTTAAAAGGTATGTACATAATTTTTTCTTGCAGCACAACTAACCATGTTTACTTCTCAATCATTAAAAAGGCAATGTTTTTCTATTACAAAAGCAGCTTCAATTGAAGTTGAACAAATCTTAACATTAAAAGCAGTGTCACAGCTCTCTAAATTTTTAAATGTTTGCTTTTTAAATTTTTCAAGTTACCACTGAGACCTATCTCTTGTACATATTTGTATCAGATCATTTTTTAAACTTTCACAACATGGGGACCAAGCTATACCAATCTACTAGCTCCAGCTAAATCACTGCCATTCAGATCTGAAACACTGAAGAGCAATTTATTCCTGTTCTCCCAAAGTACACAGCAAAGTAATCATAATGTCATTAAGCTAAAGTAGCTATAAAGCAGACTTCTAACAAAACAAGCTGAAGGCAAGTCTGCAATATAACAAGGTGACAGATGTCCCAGCATAATTTGGGCCTTGCATACAAGAAAACACCATGTCTGGCTAGTAAGGTCAGTCATCCAAATACAGCTATTTACATGGCTAGATGGAGAGCTAGGATGAAGATTTTCAAAATGCCTCTGTAAAACACTGATCATACAGCACTATCAGCTCTACTGGAACAATTACAAATAGTGGGTGTTTAACTCCTAACAATCTGTCCTCTGATTCAGCTGGCTAAATTATGACTGCTGGGCTGAAATCTTGTCATGACTGAAATAAATGACAAAAGTTCAACTAAATGAAGAGGAACTTGTGGGCTTTAGATCTGACCCTGATTTCATCTACACTGAGGTTAAACGGATGCAATTCCAGTTAACAGCACCCATTATTTCTTCTTAGCCTCCTTACTTCCTGCATTAACTCCCAAACAAGTTTCCAGAGACTGAAAATGCATTGCATGCTGAAGGTCACAGCACACAAATAATTGTTCTCTTTGCTCAACCTCTTCAATGTACCGCCTCCGCTATATGCTGCCCTCATCTCAAAGGTTTTAAAATTACCTGCATGCAGAATTTGAGGAGCAGGTCCACAGCTAGTGTTTCACATCACATGTTCAATTGAAAAAAACCAAAAAGAAACGGACAAAACTTGACATTCATTATTTATTCAGTTTACAGAAGAGAAAATCCATTATTCAAAGGTACTAAAGATTTTATTTATTACCTCTGGAAAAAAGAAACCACAAAACATAAAACAAGTGCAAACACAGATCAATAGACATGTTTTATAATTATGATGCAATATACATGTACCTCAAAGAAAAGAAATTCTGTATCTTACACCTGCTATAATAATTTTTTTCCATCCTTGAATATTAGAGAAAATAAATACTATATGCCACATATTAGGCTGACTCATAAAACAAATCAAAGAAATGAAAAAAAAAATCATTTGGTATCAAGTTGTCAAGATTTTTGTAGACACAAAAAATATTAGAAAAAAATTTTTAATATAATGGGGTAACTTCCTAAGAGTCAACAAGTGCCAGTCAATTTAGTAGTTAAATGGCCATGCTGGCACAACACAAGCATTCATCCAGGTCAGTAACCCATCTCCAGCACTGGCTAATGGCTGATACGCAAGCCAGAATATCTGAAGAGGATGAGCATCAGACATTTCATGGCCAACTGGGACCTACAACTGGGTTCACCATGATGCCAAGTCGTAAAGCGATCAACAGTGGTGGTCTCAGCAGCTTCTGCAACTGCATCTCCTTCTGTCGCTTCAGGGCCATATTACTCAGCACTTCCCGGACCAACAGAACCTTGCTAGTCACACAACATGGCCTCCACAGAAGGACTACTTATGAGAAACTTGTGGAGCCAGAAGCTCCTAGCATCTTGCTTGGCCACTCCTAGCCCATTACAACCCACACACAAGTCACTATTGCTAACGCATGGGAGGGATATCAAAGGCACTAGCTGAACAGGTATTGTGCATAATTGAGACAGAGTAGTTTAAAACACTTCTGCACACCTCCGTGCCACTGCAGAAGGGAATGCCGTTCCACTCCGGTGTACAGAACACCAGAAGTTGGAAAAGCCAACAACTGGTTATGGAGGATAGGCATAGTTTATAATACTGGTGTGGCAAAACCTTCTCCTTCACTGACACAGCCTTGGCGCCAAAGGCATTGTGAAAAAGAGATCATTTCAGAGCATAAAATTCTTACAGCAGGTAATTTAAACAGCAACAAAAAGAATCTGGTCCTGAGGAGGCTACTTAACTGTCCCACACTTTCAGCTAGCATTGGTCCAAATTTCCCAGGCTCCTCACTATTCCCCTCAAAAAAATCACTTTGCTGCTCATGTATTTAGATACACATGAATTACGACCTGAGGCTTTGGGCTCATGTTACTAAAATTATATCATTTGTCAGACTAGTAATGATTACTGTTAAGATTTAGCACTGGAGCTAATGAACTATTTTTGACACAGGATCACCACCACTTCAGTGTTTGTTTGCACATATAGGACTGTTATTCACAACTGCAGTGACACACAAAAGATTTTTCCAGTCAATTATCTGAATCAGATACATTGCATAAAATCGAAATATGTCAGTTTTACAAACAATTCTTTTCCCACACCATGACTTAAACATACAAAATAGTTTCATAACAAAAGGGGTCACTAATTTTTCAGGTAAATACATTTTTCTGTGTATGCATAAGACGCATTTAACAATTCTCTTATTTAAAAACACACAGAAAACTACATGCTAGCAGCTTTTCCTTTTAGCAGTGAGATTTTTATTTTGTGGTTCAAGAAATTTTCACAAATTTTGTTATATACTTCAGAAAATAGAAAATACTCAGAATAGCCATCTATAATAAAAGTTAACAAGTATATACCACACTGAATGAATGCCCAGGCAGTTAGTCACACAAAATCTAGTACTGTTATGACTAGACTGCTACCTGAACTATAATTATTTTAAGACCAATTTGATATACTGAACTTCAGTCACAAGTGTGACTAAAATATACATGTATCATAAGTTATGTTAGTGACAGGTAAATCCAATGTAAAAATAATAACTACGTTTTAATTACACTATAACATATTTCTTAACATCTAAGTCACCTTTCCTCTACCAAAAAAAAAAACAACAAACATAGCATCTTATGTCCAAAACAAACAAAGTTTTCTTGCCAGAGTAAATTATTCAAGGTAGAATAGAACAAGACTGTCTCTGAATACCTGAGTATTCAGTATTCTCTGAAAGCTGAGTGTTAAAACTACAGCGGAAATTCAATATAAATAAATAGGAAAAGAAGTATATGGTGAAAGACAAACTGTACTTCACATGCATGGTAATAAGCCCTGAGGTGACTATGCACTAACCAGACCTTGGGGCTGTAACAGAAAACCTCAGGTCTGTGGCTTGGTGCTGACCAGAAAGACGTTCTGGGAACAGCATCGGAACAAAACAGAAAATGGCCCTATGTATATAAATGGCCAGACTACATTTTCAGTGCTAGGTACATCCTGCCTTGATGCCACCAAGCTGAGTGGTGCAGTTGATTCGCTTGAGGGAAGGGATGCCATCCAGAGGGTCCTGGACAGGCATGAGAGGCGGACCCGTGTGAGTCTCATGCAGTTCAACAAGGCCAAGTGCAAGGTCCTGCACACGGATCGGGGGCAATCCCCAATATCAATACAGACTAGAGGATGAATGGATTGAGAGGAGCCCTGCAGAGAAGGACCTGGGGAATTGCTGGATGAAAAATTGGACAAGAGCCCGCAATGCGCAATGCCAGCCCAGAAAACCAATTGTATTCTGGGCTGCATCACAAGAAGCATGGCCAGCATGTCGAGGGAGGTGATTCTGCTCCTCTACTCCATGCTCTTGAGACCTCACCTGAAGTACTGTATACAGCTCGAGGGTCCACAGAACAAGACAAACATGGACCTGTTGGAGCAGGTCCAGAGGAGGGCCACAAAAATGATCAGGGGGCTGGAGCACCTCCCTATGAAGAAAGGCTGAGAGAATTGGGGTTGTTCAGCCTGGAGAAGACAAGGCTCTGGGAAGACCTTATTGTGGCCTTTCAATATATAAAGTGGGCTTATAAGAAAGATGGAGAAAGACTTTTTATCAAGGCCTGTAATGACAGAACAAGGGGCAACGGCTTTAAACTGAAAGAGGGTAGATTTAGATTGGACATAAGGAAGACATTTTTTATGATGAGGGTGGCGAGACACTGGAACGGGTTTCCCAGAGGAGTTGTGGATGCCCCCTTATTGGAAGTGTTCAAGTTGGATGGGGCTTTGAGCAACCTGATCTGGTGAAAGATGTCCCTACCCATGGCAGGCAGTTTGTACTAGATGATCTTCAAAGGTCCCTTCCAACCCAGACTATCCTGTGGTTCTATGATTCTCCATCTCAGAAAGGGCAGAGCAGAGCTGTAAGTTACCAAGAAAGGCAATGAAACAAACTGAAAGGTGTAGATTGGTTCCTGTGTACAATTATGGTTATACATGCTGGGATTCTTCAGCCTGGAAGAAAATGGAGGAGGAAAAGATGAGAGAACCTGTTGTGAGAAACCCATCCAGATCAGTCAGTGGAAAGGCTCTCCAGATCACCTTTCAGGCTGAGAATGGTGCCTATTGGAGTAGGACACTTGTTACGGGATGCAGGGAAGAGCATTTTGGGATTGTACAAGACTTTTTATAGGATGACTAGAGGAGGAATCAAAGGCAGGGAAAGGGAGGGATCAAGGAGGTTTGGGAGGAGTAAGCATGGGAAAATAGAGAGGTAAGCTGATAAAAGGAGCCAGTCTGGCCAGTACATTTGGCTGTCCATGTCCTGCGCTTGATCACCACAGTCTCTCCTGTCTTCACCTTAGACTCCATTTCTAACTATTTTCCTGGGTGAATGGACTCTGTATATGTGTGCATGTGTATGTATGGAGTTCTAAGGACCATCAACTGGAGGATGGACCACAAGTCACAGAGGCCCATGTGTGCCAGCAACTGGACTGAATGTGACTGCTAGTGAGTACTGAGCCACACCAGCCAGTGAGCAGAAGAAGTCACCTGGCAGCCACCTATCAATACAGAAGCAAGCCTGGGCTGGATAGGTGAGTCTCTGAATGAGAGAATTGGACGAGTTAGATACTGAAGGGGCCAGAAGGTCCAGGTCAACTACTGGTTGGGCCATAAAGTCTGCGGGTCTGTGGAGAGACCCATTTGTGTGTGTCTGCATTTCTGTGCATGAGGAAATTGGAGGCAAGAAGATCCAAGAGCCAGCTGCAAAATGAACTATGTCTAGGCCATTTTCTGGAGGGATCCATGTTGTAAAGATGTATAATTTCCCACTAACAGACCTTCATCTTGATCAGCCAGAGTGGGAAACAGGATGAGGCCATTTGTGCTGTTTGTGTTTGCATCAGTGCTGAGCGTTTCTGTCTGTGTTGGTTTGTGTGTACTGAACACCCCAGTTTTGTGCGTGTGCTGCTGCATGAGGCTGTGCACCTTCATACTGGTTGGACACAGCGGCATGAAGCTGAAGCAGATTCATCAGCCCTGAACAGTACAACATTAAGGTGTTGATTAACAATCAAAAGGTATTTCTTTATGATAATGTGCAGTGAGCCCTCAAACTACTTGCAGCAGTCACTGGAGACTTCAGACGTATCTAGGGATGCAAAAAGGCATTTGGCAAAGTCTTAGAAGAAGAATGGCTGTTAACTGCAAAGGCGTGAACTTCAGCTCAGGGTATCAGGACTGCAAGTTGCTAAAGCCTACAACAGCATTTATGGAAAGCATCACTCATGCCCTGTTACGATACACTTATCCAGCCATCAGCTGTTGACACTAAGGGAGAGTGGAGATTGGGCTTTTGATCTATGGTGGTCAAGCTTATGTTGAAACTTATGACATAATGAATACTTAGTTCTTGCTACTCTTACAAGGATGAAGCTAGCATTCTGTAAAATGAATTATGTAACGATTAGGAAAGGCATGTAATTAAGTCTGATTTATAACACAGGGCTGATACTTGAAGTGTGCGGCAGCTCTCCAGAAGCTGTCTAGTGCTCTCAGTTCCTAAACATTTTTTAAAAGGTACTCTATGCACCATAATGATAAATCTCTTCATCCACAGAGCTAAACCAAACACACAGTGTTTTGCCTTGAACCATGTAAACAGAACTGAGTTGCATAGCTTTGGTGGTATTTTTGACCTCACTCATCTTTCAGGCTAGAAAGTCAAGATGCAAACGTTATCTGGTAATAACAAATTGCACCACATGACATCACTACAGAAACGTGGCAATCCCTTTAGTTTATTATAATGAAAAACACTCTAAAATGAAAGGTCTCTACCCATATGCAACCCTCAGCATTTAAAGCCTCTGAAATAAACTATAAATAAGTACCTTAATGGCTAGGATATCAACACTGTCTCAAGAAAACAGTGAGGGTTCACACTGAACTAGGAGAAGGTAGCAGTGTTTCTCCATATGAAGACAAAGATACATCACTAGAATAGAGAAAATCAGAAGTGGACCTCAAAGATTTACTATTTATTGTGAAATGTCTAGCTAGGTACGAGTACCATAGTTGTCAGTTATCTAATGGTCTGCAACCATCACAACGTCTCAGGCAAGGCACCAGACATCAGTTTCCAGATCTGAGTGTGACTAGGAAACAAATTTTCATGCAAGTTTTAAAGACTTTTTTTTTTTAATACATTAGATGATAGTATATACTTAAAGCAATCGTATTATC